CTGTGTGTGTGTGTGTGTGTGTGTGTAACTGTGTGTGTGTGTGTGTAACTGTGTGTGTCTCTCTGTGCAACTGTGTGTGTGTAACTGTGTGTGAGTGTGTGTGTGTGTGTGTAACTGTGTGTGTGTGTGTGTGTTTGTGTAACTGTGTGTGTCTCTCTGTGTGTGTAACTTTGTGTGTAGTTGTTGCAGATGTGCGGCGGATGGCAGCGTCTCCAGCGTGAGTCCGTCTCTCTGTCCGTTCTCACGGAGCTTCAGTCTCTGCTTCACAGTCGTCTAGAAACTCGATGGCTGCCGCTGTTCCTCTCGAGCTCACAGTTCATCAGGCGTCAGCAGCAGAAGGTAATGAAGCCTCCACACGATCATCTGTAACACCGACTCTTCTGTTCTTTAAAGCTTTCTGTGTGTTAACTAGAGCCCGACCGATATTATCGGCCGATATGAGCCTGTCACCGATATATCGGTATCGTCGAATATGCCACCGATAAGAATTTTTTTTACAGAACATATAACGCAGATTAAATGCTTCTGAATGGTGTAATTACTTAGTTTGTCCAGCAGAGCCAGATAAACCAGATTGAAAAGTTAGTATCTTTCTGCAGTCCAACAGACGGCAGTGCGGTGGTGGCTTGAGTCTGTTGAATGGTGATTTAACGCTACGTTGTCACCTAGTTGGAGAGACTCAATGCTAAGTAAATAAACAACAATGTACCCGTCTTTTACTCTCACAATGAGCTTATCATATTCGTTTGCTACATTAGTAGGGCCCTATGATTTCCGTGATGCAGAAAACATGGACAATGAGCTTATCATATTCGTTTGCTACATTAGTAGGGCCCTGTGATTTCCGCAATGCAGAAAACATGGACGGAATCGCGGAATCCATTCATAAAAACGGAATTTACTGTATAACGCGGAATTTCATGGAATTTGTCTTATTTTTGATGAATAAATAAAAAACAGGTCAGGACATATATATATATATATAGACTAGGGATGTCAATTTTCGATCATTTCCATGATCGATCGTCGTTTAAATTAACGAACAATTAATCGATTAATCGTTAATGACAGGATGTGCAAAAGTTACTCAAAAAAAAAAAAAACCCGCTTTCTCACCTGAATTAAAGGGGATTTAGTCTGAATAAAATGCTAGTAGCAGGATTGTAAAATGAATAGATGTGATTATGATCATTTGATAAAATGAAGAGAGCTCGTTTGAGATTATTTTACTTTTGTTGACCGTTTCCTATCCTGTCACGGAGATCGCTGAACGCGCCTCTTTAAATGGTTTCGTGGTGCTCGTTATTGTATTTTAAAACACAATTGCAATGTTTTCAACTGACATTATGGCATTTAAAATAAAATGATCCCAAACGTAACTGTGGCGCGTGTGGCTGTGCTGCGCAGTCAGTGAACCGCTTCCATCGGCGCTGCTGCAGCAAAACACACTGTTGCTAACATGAAACATGAAACATTATCAATGTGAGTATTATGACCAGTACTTAATTTAATCCTGCTGGATCCTGTTCCGGAAAATGTCAGATTTTGAATTTTTGCGTTCCGGTAGGCCTATTTGGTTTTAAAAATCCGGCATTTACAATGCATTTCCAAATGTTGCAATGTATTTGAATGTTAAACTATTATTTATAATGTAAACTAGGCTTGTACTTTACACGCTTTACACGCAAGACGGAAAAGATCATCCTCTTCACATGAGCAAAAAAGTCCTTGGCATAACAGCAGAGTGGACCGGTATACTACGGTCTATTTAAACTGACCAGTGTAACCTTTTATATGTTTGGTTGACTGTATTTTATTTTGATAATGAACAGACAGCGATGTAAGTTTGAATTGCTAGAATATGTGGGGTGTGTGCG